CAGCTATTCCAGAAAAGGCACTCCCCTCTGGTTATCAGGGAAAACTCACCACTACCACCATTAACTCCCCCTTAAAGCTTCTCCCTGCAGATATCTTGCATAATATGAGAGTACTGACTTGACAGGTCTGAGAGCTTCCACTTGCCGGGGACCCCTCAGGGTCATGAAGACAGGGGAGAGACGGCCTGGCATCAGCAGTGAGCTGCTCTTCTCTGTGTGTAACCTGCAGCACCATCCCATGTCATGCCTGCAGGTCTACAGGTGTAAATCGAGCAACACGGGTAGGACTGCAAGGTGATTTTCTCTTCAGCCTCCCCCATACGTGACCTCTACCACATTTACCTGACAATCCATTTACCTGTGGGAATGTCAGAATTTGTCTGAAAAGTAGTAGAAAGACAGAAGTAATGCACCATTTCTGCCATTCAGAGCTACGACTGTACACCAGAAAAACGGAGTCACAAACAGACTGGTGTCTTGAGAGAATTTCCCAGATTCCTTCATGTTTGCTTCAATTTATTAAGGGTTGATCCACACAGCTCCAACTCCTAGTGCTTCCCTGTAAAACAGGAAAAGTGTCATTTGTGACTGGGAGAATCAGGTATGCTGCATGTCAGTGGTTCTCACCAGGGGGGATTTTGCCCCCCAGAGGACATCTGGTGATATCTGCAGACATTTTTGGTTGTCTCAGCTGAGGGGGAGGGGGTGCTATTGGCATCTAGTCAACAGAGACCAGGGGATACTGCTAAACACCCTACAGTGCACAGGACAGTCCCCCCACCCCACCACTGCCCCCCAAAGAATTATCTGGAGAATTATCCCCAAAGACCAATAGTGCTGAGGTTGAGGCAGGTACAATTATTAGCTCCATTTCACAGGTGAGGAAACTCCAGCAGAGGGAGGTTCAATGGACTCCGAAGGTCTCGCAGCTGGTAATGACTGCAGCAGACCCTGACCCCGTGTTCTCTGGCACAGCACCATGCTCCCCTGACAATGCCATGCTGCCTTCGTTCCTCTGTTGAAGGACCTGTGACCCTCCAATCTCTACTTCCTCACCTTTACCACTCACTAGACTGGAAGTTGCCCAAGGCAACATCTTGATAATACAGTCCCCAAACAGTAACACCCAGTAAGTGTCACACGAATAAGTGTGCAGTTTTTCCCTAGATCAGTTGCTCTCAAACTGTGCTCCTCAGAAGGCTATGGCTACATCAGCAGTGGCACACCGAGCACGGTGGAGAAGAGATGGCTGACGCTTCGGGAGGAGGAAGGTACAGAGTTACAGAACTACCACCCTGACCTACTCGGTTGACGTCTTTTATGTTGAGCTTTGCAGCAAGTCTGCAAAAAGTCTCTCCACTACAACAGACGTTTGGAATCACTGCCCTAGATCCCGTCAGTATAGTTTCACTCTCACCATCTTGAGAAGAAGGGGGTCTCTTGCCAGCTAGGTTAGGAAAGGGAGTGTTCCTAGTACCCTGCAACATTTATGCTATTTCTCTAAATTCAAATTTCTAATCTGAATTCTTACTCTGGCTTTCTTATTCTGAATTGTAAAATTGGGAGAAAGAACTAAACTATTAAGGATTGCTTACTGTTCCCCAATAATTTACTCTCTGTTCTTTTAGCTAATCCTTTCTCCCCTCTCATTTTGCCCAGAGACTGTCCCACATGTCTATGCCCAGGAAACACTCACTGTGTCCAAGTAGGGCAAGACTTCCCACAGTGACACAAAGTGCAACGTTGTCAATGACTTATACTCAGCCTTCAGAGGGTGACCTGGTTGGAGGGGGGTGGGCACCTCTGCAATGAGAAACATGTGGTCAGGTCACTCCAGGATCCTCTCCCAACCCCATTAAAGGGCAACAGGTACCTGCTATCCCAAATCTACCAAGAATTAAGGGCCCACTTGCAGGGCATGGCTCGCAGTTCTAGGAGAGTCAGAAGGCAGGCAATGACTAAGTGGGATTCCTCTCACATCTGAGGCAGGGACCCTGCTACCCTGGAAAAGCAGTCCCATCTGCTGAACCAGTAGTTCTCAGCCCTGGCTGCTCAACAGAATCTCCTAAAGCCCAATGGGAAAAATCACATGCTAAGATTCCACCCTTTCCTTTCCATTTCTACCAGAACATACTTCTCTACGAGCTCTGGGAAGGGCCTGGAACCTCAGGCTTCAAGTTCCACAGAGGATTCTGTTGCACAGCCCAGCCCAAGCCACATGGTCCAAGGGTTGAGCACCTAGAGAGCAGGCCCTGTATCTTGTGCATATCTGAATCTCCACTTCCTAAGATAACTGCAGCGAACTGGATGTCTCCCCAAAAGATCTCCACCCATTCCCTCACCCACCTCTTGATAGGACAGAACCACTGAGAAGGCTGAGTTATCAATCAGATTGAGGTCGTTGCTGGGTACCTATTACAGAGCTAAAAAACTTTTGAAAGGTGAGACACTTGGCTGTGTATTCTCCATTCTCTGTCAGCAGTGCCCCATAGTCTGAAAAATACAAAGAACTTGTCATTTTCCCATGGAAAACCCCAGCTTCTGCTTCTTTCTCCAGGAAGAGATGGGAGCTTAATACTAAGCAAAGCGATCCTTACTACAACAGCTTTGGGAGAAAAAACTCTTGGCATTAGACAAAAAAAATGCCATGTGCCAGTTAGTCCAAACTAGGAGACATCGGCCAAGCTTTCCAGGGCATTCAATAAGAGGCACACGGCAGCAGTCCACGGGCATCTACTAAGCCCAAGGTTCTCTAATCCAGTGGTTTCTCCTTCCTATTCAATTTCTAATTGGACTCCTTTCTCCCCTGCCCCCCTCCCCCGCCCTTGACTTGGGAAGACACATTAATTGATACCTGGTGCTGTCAGGAGATCCAAAGTAACTGATTCTGCAGGGAACTTCTGGGAACAAGGGTCTGCGCAGCAGATGGATGAGATTAAGCTACAGCCTTCTGTGCTTGCAAAGTCCCAGAAAGCCTAGGTTCTAGGGGTGAACACATTCTAGCACTGTCAAGAGGAACTATTATCAAATCGTCAATCCCCACATATGTCAAAGGCAAAGCTGATGAACCCTCCCAGAGACTGCCTAAGAGGCTGCTCTAAGAAGCTCCAGTGTCAAATGGTGTGGAAGCCTTGGCTGGAGACAACTCTGGGGACAAGCACTTGCCATAGTATAAGTGTTCAAAGACGCAGCTCTGCCCATGAAGCTGAAGTTGGTGCCACCGTGGAACATATAGAAGTTGAGGAAGAACCTAAGCTTAAACATTTCATGCATGTCCTTCATTAGTACTGCACACAGGTAGGAAGAAAAGAAGAAAAGGGGGAGAGAATTACAGCATGAGAATTAGCAGCTCCTCATAGATTTTCAAATAATCTAGACCTAAGATATTCGAGATCTACCAAGATCTCATGACCAGAAAACATGTGGGATTAGTCAGAACTGACAGGGAAGGATTGGTGGAGTTATTCCCAGCACAGGTTGAGCATCCCTAATCTGAAAATCCAAAATCTGAAATGCAATAGAAGATGGCGACGGGTCTGGAGCGGGTATGCCAGAAGACAGAGTGAGCTTGAGAAGTGTGCACTGTGCTGCCAGAGTACTATTTGCATTTCCAAGAGCAACAAAAAATGA